AGATGAATACAAAAAATAAAATAAAATATATGAAGACAAGAAATTGATCGATTCAGTGCTCTTCTGGTGCTGTTGCTTTGGTTTGGATCTGTGAGAAAACAGCAGCACATTTATTTGATTGAAACAAAAAGGGCTGAGAAATAAATGTGACACTAGAAAAGAAAATCAGCCAAGTAACGTCCTATATTTAACTTAAAGTTGCAGCATACTGGTTTCAAGGTATACCATGCTATGAAAATGAAGGGTTACTTGTCTACAGTATTGAAAAACACACAACTAGACAGAGAATCTCAGCTTTATTTTAGCTATTTTCACAAGGGAGATGGTTTTGCACATACTTCCATTTAAAAAACGGTTTCAGGTTTTAATTATAGTAATGAAATTTTTGTTCAGTCCTTGAGGTGTTTGTAGTAAATTGGAGGTGAAGAGGAACATTTTCTATCCTGCACCTCATAATCCATGGACAGCCCAGAGTTGCACTGCATCATTTAAATGTTTAAAAGACATTCTTCAGAAAAAGTTATTACGCAAATATATATCTGAATGCCAGTTTTTGTTATTCATGAGATTTGAATTTGACATGATATCTCCTGGTTAAACAGAGATCGAACCATTTCTGTTTTGCAAGTCTGTAGCAGGGCACATCACTCAACATATGCACAGTGTTTTACTGTATGTGATGCACTCTGTTTGATGTTCCCCTCTTCTTATAGTCATGCACACAGTTTACCATCATTCCTTTTAACTCAATCAGCTCAGTCATAAATATAATATCATGACATTTCTCACTGAAAAGAGGGAAGTGTTGCCTTTTGTTTGAGGTCTGTGATAGATTAAAATGAACTTTGGGAAATCATTTGTAAGTTAAATACTCAGATTGGACAGTACAAATAAATCAAGCCTAAATGACCCAAATGCCTCTTAATTGCAAAGTGAGTTTAAATAAAGGTTGTGGTTTCTAAAAGGTGCCTGCAGATGTAATGGACATTTTCTATGATTTCCTCAAGGTACATAAGTGAATTAAGATTTATGTTAATTATAGATTTAAATGTCAGCCCACAGATGGGAAGGTTTTGTGAGAGGGATTTTTTTTTTTCTGTAGGGGTGCATTTATAACTAACCTGTCTGCTCTGGTTTGGTTCCATGTGGCTGGTGCGAACCAAACCACCAAAGAAAGAGCAGAGCAAGCACAGGACTCTGCGATAAAAGATGTGAGATTTCAACAAGAATTCAGAGGCTAAAATACTTTTAACTATTTGCTGTTGATGCGAAGAGGAGGAATCTGTGTGTGTAATCTATATGATCATTAGGGCTGTCAGCATTAACATTTTAATAGCGCGCGATTAGGTCAGAGCTAAATGCACTAATTATTTTTAATGGTATGCTGCTATTATGTCCCTTCATTGTAACCTTACCTTAAGTCAAATTACCACAGCGGCTTCCTGCTGCCTCAATGATGAAATAAAGAGTGATGCGTCTGAACTTTTATGTGGCTCCATTTATCTTTTAAAAGACCTTAAGGGCTCAAATTATAAGCCAAATGTAATGGGAGCTTGTGCACAGCTCAAGGCAGCAGTTCATTTTATTCGCTGCCATGTTGTTTTATGTATGGCATTCAGGAAATTTTAAGTTCAGACCTGAATAGGAAAATACAGCTGCCCTATTGAAATGTAACACCCAACTCGCTAATTGTGCAAATTATAAACTAAGAAAAATGACAACAATCGGCATAAACACTAACAAAAAGTGATGTTTGTGCTTTGAAACATAAAACTTAACTGCAAACTACAAATGACTCAGTCCAGCACAAGGCATGATGGGAAATGCTACAGTACAGCTACAGTAATAATATGAGAAACTCCAGCTAGCCACTTGGCTAATTTATACAATGTAAAATGCCATAGGCTTGTGCTAATAAAGTTAGCTTGTTGTATTTGTGTGTTTTAAACCAAACGTTACAGCACTTCACAGAAACTCCACTGCTGACTAGTGTTTTGGAGGTGTAACTACAGAGCAACGCAGACCAGAGATGGGGAACTCGAGTCACATGACTTGACTCGAGTCAGACTCGAGCCGCAAATATGATGACTCGAGACTTGCTTGACTAACGTTGATAAAAGACTTGACTTGACTTTGACTGTGTATTCATGACTTGAGACTTGACTTTGACTTGAGACAGATGACTCGAAAGGACTTGGCTTTAATTCAATATTAAAGGCACGCTAAGCACCACTGGGCGTCACTTCTGTTTTCGTTCAACAATGTTATCAAACACAACGGAGCTAGCCCTCCCCTCCACCCTCGTCCTCCGTGACTCTGTCATGAACGAGCGATAGCTGCTAGTTACCCTGGATTTACACACCTGTTCAAGGGATAGTGCACCCAACATGAAAATTCAGCCATTATCTACTCACCCTCAAGCCGAGGGAGGCTGAGGTGAAGTTTTAGAGTCCTCACAACACTTGCGGACATCCAAGGGGAGAGGGGGTAGCAACAAGAACCTAATGGAGGCTTATGGCACCCCAGATTCAAACGTCCAAAAACAAATAATTGCTCGCCCTTAGTGATCCAAGTGTCCTGAAGCCCCGACATAAAAATTTGTTTGGAAAAACGTCATTTGAACTCTGTTTTTAGCCTCATTGTAGCCTGCAGCTCTAACTGCCTCTCTGTGCACCGCATTCACGTGTGCACGCTTGCATGAGACCGTGAGACATGGGCACCGCGTTCATGTGTGTGTGTGCTTGCTTTCGCTGGTCTCGCGCTGGCTGGTCGGTACAGCCTGGACCCAAAGGTTTTTGTTGCCATTTGCGGAGCCTGGGCTGTCTACAGAGACCAGACTTTTTCACAGCATATTCAGAGGACATATAGCTAGCGGATCGTGAGGAGATGTTTGCTGTATGTGACATATGACTTGACTTGTGACTTACTTGACCTGAGCAATGACGCATTTTGACTTGCTTGACTTATAGCAGGGACTTGACTTGACTTGCTTGATTCTCACCACAGCTAACTTGGGACTTGCTTGAGACTTGAAGGTAAAGACTTGAGACTTGCTTGCATGCATGTGTGACTTTCCCCCATGTCTGACACAGACACAACTCTGTACAATCATGTATCAAGGGGACGTCCTCAGGTTGGCATGTTATGACCAGTCACACGTCTTACTGTCAGGGGGGAACAATAGTTTTACACATACAGGACCTGTATGAATCAGAGAAAGCAACTAAACTGGAACTGGAACTGCAAAATGCTGTCACAGTTAACCAGGGATGATTGGATGTCAGTAAATAGTCAAAATGATATCAGAATAACTGCACTTTGTCAATGTGGAACAGTGTAATCCTTTCAAAATAAAATTAACAACAAAAAACACTGTATCTCACAGAATAAGCAATCTGAAGTTGTCTCCTACCTCTGAGTCATGGTTTCCAGTCCACACTGTTGTAGCAGTGCAGCACTGATTTAATAGGAAAACAGAAGTGTGCTGAGTTTGTTTTCTTTTCCATGTGTTTTGGAAGTCCCTTAATAAAAACTGAGTGACTTGTGTACTTTGTTTTGTCGGCTGATATGTTGTGCTGCTGACACTGTGCACCGAGTGTTTCTTTTCCACAGACTCTGGCTGTGTCACCATGAAAGTGAAGTGAAGTGAAGTGAAGGTACACAGTAACTGTACCCCCGTAATATTACATCACAAGCCGCCTTGTTATTTATGATGTACGAGGTTCGCTTGCATTTTGGACCAGTGATGCTCATAATCAATAATTTCATTGTGAGTGTTGTGACAATGGAGAAGATAGATTAACATATCAGATGCAGTAAAGTGCAGATGACCTACTGAAATTGGCCGCCTGCATGGACAAACATTTATCTAACCTGCCATGGTGTGCTAATATACAGAGGGATAAAGTAACTATATATTTATATACAGTACAGGCCAAAAGTTTGGACACACCTTCTCATTCAATGTGTTTTCTTTATTTTCATGACTATTTACATTGTAGATTCTCACTGAAGGCATCAAAACTATGAATGAACACGTGGAGTTATGTACTTAACAAAAAAAGGTGAAATAACTGAAAACATGTTTTATATTCTAGTTTCTTCAAAATAGCCACCCTTTGCTCTGATTACTGCTTTGCACACTCTTGGCATTCTCTCCATGAGCTTCAAGAGGTAGTCACCTGAAATGGTTTCCACTTCACAGGTGTGCCTTATCAGGGTTAATTAGTGGAATTTCTTGCTTTATCAATGGGGTTGGGACCATCAGTTGTGTTGTGCAGAAGTCAGGTTAATACACAGCCGACAGCCCTATTGGACAACTGTTAAAATTCATATTATGGCAAGAACCAATCAGCTAACTAAAGAAAAACAAGTGGCCATCATTACTTTAAGAAATGAAGGTCAGTCAGTCCGGAAAATTGCAAAAACTTTAAATGTGTCCCCAAGTGGAGTCGCAAAAACCATCAAGCGCTACAACGAAACTGGCACACATGAGGACCGACCCAGGAAAGGAAGACCAAGAGTCACCTCTGCTTCTGAGGATAAGTTCATCCGAGTCACCAGCCTCAGAAATGGCAAGTTAACAGCAGCTCAGATCAGAGACCAGATGAATGCCACACAGAGTTCTAGCAGCAGACCCATCTCTAGAACAACTGTTAAGAGGAGACTGCGCCAATCAGGCCTTCATGGTCAAATAGCTGCTAGGCTCGCATAGCTCATAGCTGCTAGGCTCGCATAGCTCATAAATAGAGCTGTGAGAGACTGTGGAGTCAAAGTGAATATAAAACATCTGACAGAAATGAAAAAGTGCATGTACTTAAGTACATATTTTTGAGTAAATATATAAAGTTATGTTCAACTTCTTTCCACTGAAAGATAATACAAGATTTTGCATTATGAGTCAGTGGCATAAAAGAGGCTTATTGACTTAACTCCTTGGGGATTGGTGCATCTTGATATCCTGCAGTTTTGAAAGACTTGCCCGTCTCTCTCTGTTTCAGGCTGGGCATGGAGCACGATGGCCAAGGCAACCGCTGCGGGGACGAAACGGCGATGGGAAGCGTGATGGCTCCCCTGGTGCAGGCGGCCTTTCATCGATACCACTGGTCCATGTGCAGCGGACAAGAGCTGAAGAGATACATCCAGTGAGTTCATGTTTGCAGTTACTAATCACTGTAAAATAAGTGGGTGTTATGGACATATGTAGATGTGGAACTGTTTTGAATGCATCATCCAAAGAGTTGGAATGCTGTTCTGCCAATGCTGATATTTGACTTCATGCTGCTGCTGCTGTCCTTTAAAGATGGAGGAACTGCAGTCTAAAAAAGCTGAAATTGTAGGATATGACAGTTTTCAGGGCCGCAGGCATCCATGACAAAAGCATTGCATTATTTAAAAAGCACTCAGAAAACTCACACCTCTACCAGAGGCACACAACTCCCCAAATTGGATTTTTTCAGTGCTTGAAAATGTTTAGATATTTTTCTTCTTGATCTGCTTAAAATACACTTAAAAATAGACAAACATGCTGAATGGCCACTGTAATGTGTTTTTGAGAAAAGCCAAATCCTTTCTGGGAACATAAGCAAAATTTCAGCTGAGTCAAACTCATGATCATTAATTTATCATGTTGCTTTAACCATTTACTAGATGTGTGCACCTGCCATCACAATTTTGGGCAGTTTAATGTCCAAAGAGCCACATATGGAAGAATTTGGCAACAAACAGTATTGAATCATTTTGGCAGCCAACAAAAAAACTTCACCAGATTGAGACAGATTGGAATTTGTATGTGAAAGAGTGTTGAAAAAGTTGTCTTACAAAAAAAAGGATTAATGTATGTGATTCTCAAATGTACAAACTGCATTTAACACTTTACAGTGAAGCGATTTTTGAGATATCCTGTGAACTAACAGACAAACACATATTCAGGACTGATAAAATCAGCCTAGGGGAGGTGATAATTATCACTACTGTGCATTTACTTATCCAAATGTGTTCTCTTCAAGGTTTTTGAAATGGAAATGTCCACACAGCAGTTAGCAAAAATCTGTGATGTAGGTTTGAACTAGGGCCGTAAATACAGACGGTGCAAGCAGTGCAGTTGCACTGGGGCCTGTGGGGTGGAATGGCCTTGCAAATGATTAAGATTGTCACTGTGTAACTAAAACTGTGCTTACAAAAGATCTCGTATTAAATAAGAAATGGTGCCATTTGCTGTAGGCTATATTCCCTCTAAAAATGCAAAGCCATTATTATTTTAGTAAGATAGTCAGTAGCAATCTTTAGAAGTTATATGCTTATTCTTCATAAACTATAAAACCTATGAATAAACTATTTAAAAATATATTCAATCAAATAATTCCTGATTCAGTGTTTCTGTTATATACAGGTATGCAATGATGATTCTCGGGCAATATGTATGTTGATGTTGCCTCGTATCAAGTTTCTATATGATCATGTGACAAGGCAATATGATAAGGAAGCTAGTTTAGGCATAAAATTTGTCAAGACTGATAAGCTGACTACGTTTACAAGTCCAGCCAGCAGTCACACCTTCAAATATAAAAGTGGTGGTGAGAAAGGACAAAAAAGAAAAGAACTGGAGGAAAATTCAGCAGAGCTCCTTATAAACAGTTGCCAGTAGTGTGTGTGCAGGCCTTCTAATTAGTAACCAGCATGCACTAGGGCCCGTCATGACTACCTTATGCCATAAGGGATAGTTCTGATCTTTTGAAGTGGGGTTGTATGTAGTACTTATCCATAGTCAGTGTATTACCTACAGTAGATAGCGGTTGGCATGCCCCGAGTTCGAAAAAGCAAGCAGGATTTCCACCATGGAAGCTAAGCAACATTCCTCTGTGGACGGATGAAGCAGCACCTCCTATAACCCCACCTAATAAATCAATATCAGTTTAACTGTTTGCTTTGTTTAGGATATTTTCACCACTTTACCTTGCTGTCAGACAGGTGTCTCCAACAGGGAGCTGATGTTTTGGTGCTGCTCTCTTCAAAGCCACCAAAGAAGATTTTTACTTTGCAGAAAGCATGAGTTGCTGGTCTGCTGCTGCCTCAATTGACTAGTTATGTATTATTACTGTGTGACTTTCAGATTCAAATTAACGTGGCATCCCCAGTTGAGTTTAATCAACTTCCATGGCGGTTAGTGGGTTAGGGAAACCTACGTCAGGTCATGTGGAAAAACTTTGTTAAGAGGGGCTTAGAAAAATAGCATATTGATGCTATAACATACATGCTTCGATCAAAATTTAAAGTTTTGAATTTCAGTACATTAGTAACACAACTTGGAAGCTGCAGATCTTTATTTTAAAAAAAACCAACTAATAATAATGGACCTGTCCTTTAAGTTAGGTGAGAAGAATTGCATCCTGCTGGAGCTCATGATGCTTCTCAAAGCACTGATACTGTTGGTTACACTTCAGCATTTGAAATATATTCCTTGAACTAAAACTGCATCAGGCCATCTCTAAACAGAACATCGAGTTTTTCGCTTGACTGCATAAGAATCAAATTCTAACTGAAGAAGAAGTTCAGTAGAGTGTGGACAACAAACCGCTGTGACATATAACGATAGCAATGTGCAGTCAGTCACCATACAGCACGCAAAGACTAGGTCCAGGCTGTTAAAAGTAGATCCACTGCAGATAAAAATCAATACACAACATGAAAAGTGTTACTGCAGTTTGAGGAAGTAGGATCATGAACATGAAAACTTTGGTTCTGAGAGGAAAAGGGAAAACTTGGCGAGGCTGCTGTGATGATATATGAGATGTTTAAAATCATTTTACACAAAGCCACAGTTGGCTTGTCTGTCTCTGAGCAGGGTTTAGCTGTGCACCCTCACCTTGGAAAAAACAAACTTCAAATCTTGGACTGAGTACAGCTGAGCCACTTTTCAGCACCTGGCAACTTGCATCCAAAATCTGTCCAAATATGAAAAATTTATTTAAAAAATAATAACAAAAGTAGTCACAGATTGTCTCTAAAAACTTGAGCAGTATTCATTATGAATATTTAAAGGTATCAAAGTGGTGGTTTGGTTTTATGGCTCATTAATTAAGTGGTAAATTAAAATGTATAATGCAAAGCTCAAGCCGACTGAAGTTAGAACATACAGTAAATACTCAAGTAGAAGTAAGTTTTCAGTGATGGTCAGGTCTCAAGTAATGTTACAGTAAGAAACCTGAAGGGGTTGAAATTGCCTTTACAACAATGGCGCTCATTGTTAATTCCAGCAAATATTGACTTCTGCATCACTAACTTCACCTGTACGATAGCATACATATCTGCATAACTGCTTTATTTACACAGTATTAAGAGACAGATAATCTGTGAAAATAATCATATTCCTCCGCCCACTCTGTTGCCTTGTAGCACTTCCAGTGGCATTACTACATGTAAACAAAAATAACCAGTCAGAGCTGAAAAGTCTTTAACGCAGCTGTCAGTCATGTCAATCACTTTTTGTAAACTGCGGTCAGACTAGGCAGCTCTGATCAGATATGAATCAAGATCCTGACCCGCAATTTCCACATACTCCGTTTGCACCGTCCAGCACAGCTGCGTAGCAGATATGCTCCCATTCTAGTGAATAGATTCATTTCTTCCAGAAGCGCCACGACGCTCCGCTTTGTCGGAGATGCCCGCCAGGTCTATTTTTCAGCAACTGCGCATCCATAGCACGTAGCCACGTAGCTCAGATCGCACCAAACTGGAAATGGAAAGCACACAGCATCTGGTAAATTTCAAAATACAACACAATGCAGGGACTATGGATTGTAAACTCTCAGTTTTTTAAAAATTACGTCACATCCTGTCGCACAAGTTGTCAATCATTTTGTATGACATTATGCATCCTTTCTACAAGGATACAAACCAAAAGGAGAAGACGTGGTGTGAAATTGCAGGAGTTTTGGGAGTGAATGGTGCTTTTTATCTTGTGATTTCGCAATTCCCACATGAGCTTGCGGTTTCACTATGCGGCACGGTGCTCCAGAAACGCATCCAGTGGGCGAGGTTACACGCAATTGATCACTCCAGATCCGTGGCGCTGCGCAGCTTGGCGCACACGGAATATGAGGAAATTGCGGGTTAGACTGCATTGTCTTTTCCTAACCATAGATGTTTTCGGAAGCATATTATGGTATACTGTTTAGCTGTAAAATTTTAAGTTTGTCTCGTAGGTGGTTCTTGATACTTAGGTTGACTATATCCAACTTGGCTGTCAGGTCACAAGCTTTCACAAGCTGGCTGTCATCCAACTCCATTGTAAACCCATCTGCGTCATTATTAGATGCTCGCAACAACAGACGTAGTTTGAGGAGCTCAAGAGTCTGCTTGGGGCAGGTGAGAGGGGAGGTGGATGGGTCCAACGAGCACAGGACATTGACCCACAAGATCAGTGTTCATGTTCTGTGTGAAACTAAAAGTCAGCATTCAGTTATGCAAGCAGCTGCTTAAGTGTCAAAAGAATGAAAGGAATGAAAGCAGATTTAATGCTGTGGAATGTACCACATGCTGGATTTTTCAAGGCAACAGGTAAACACAGAGAAAACAGGGAGGCTTTTCATTGAAATTTGATCAAATACACGTATAAAGCAGAGGAATTATTGATAAAAGTTTGTCTCTAATATTCAGTCACAGTCTGCTCTCCTCTGCAGTTGAGGGAAGTAAAGACCCCGGGCCACAAATCCATCCAGAAAAATTGGGTGTCATCTTTGAGTCCTTGTGTGATCTCTTGTTCCATTCCCCAACAGCACATACGACTGTCTCTTGGATGACCCCTTCAAACATGACTGGCCGCAGCTTCCTGAACTCCCCGGCATCAACTACTCGATGGATGAGCAGTGTCGATTTGACTTTGGAGTGGGCTATAAGATCTGCACCTCAGTGAGTACAGCCCCTCAGGCCTCCATTCAGTGGATAGGTCCAACACTTGCACAGTTTGATCACTGTCACCATTCACATGTCTGTAAGTGATATTCAGCAGAGAAACAGAGCAAAAGTCAATTTACTCTCGATGAGCTCGGAGAGAAATGGTACTTAAGATGAGCAGAGAAGATGTGGTGAGCTTTTTAAACAAAGATGTGCAGGAGATGAGGATTGAAGAGAAAATGACATTGAAACATCAGCAGACTCATACGAGCATAGCCAGGTGCCAGATTAGTGAGTACTTCAAACAGACATCTGCTTTCTTTACTGCAGTCACACCTGCCGTCCTGCTAGCTTTCTGCAGATGTTTGAAAATCCTGTCACTGTTTTTCTATCATCTGCAAAACTTTTCTTCATCTCTTACTGGTCACATCACCGTGAGCTACTCTGGCTTATAACTGACAGAAGGCGTGAAAAAAAAGCTAATTAGATCCTGGATCTTACAGAAATAAAAAGTTCTATCATTTGCTTATTTGCTTTGATGGTACGTCTTTAAAGGGTCAGTGTGTGTGGGATTTAGGGGGGACATATTCACAGAGATGGAGTTTGATACAATAACTATGTTTTCTTTAATGTATTATCACCTGAGAATAAGAATCATTGTGTTTTCATTACTTCAGAATGAGCCTTTAATACCTACACAGGGAGCGGGTCCTCGTCTATCGCTGTGTTTCTACAGCAGCACAGAATGGACAAACCAAACTCTGACTCTAGATAGGGCCATTCATGTTTTTGCACTAGCCACCATGGTTAGAAGCCCCCTTTGCATTGAGAGCAAAAGATAAACACTGATTTTTTTTATGTGAAAGTGCTTTATTCATCGTTTTTACGGGCTTAAATTGTTGGTCTGTTTGGACCTGTTGGACCTCTGCGGATAATTCAGCTCCCAGTTTACACCTCCTGAACCTCTGGATCTTATGTTACCAAAGAAAAGGGGAACATTAGGAGGTGCTAGGCTACCGGACCTTTTCTGACATGCAACATGGAATTGCTGTATTCAGTGTTTTACCAATTTAAATCACCGGGTCCATTTGTTTTGGAGAGGAAGAGGCCTCTGGGGATAATTTGTCTGGTGGTAAAGACCTCTTGAACATCTGGATCAGAAATAAGGGCGCTTACGAAGTTATCGATGAAAATAGGTGAGCACATGTTAGCAGGTCCTGGGCCAGCTGGCTGTCTGCAACATGCCAAACAGCGTCCGTGAAACACTGTTTTGTTACAGGAAGCTGCTTTATTCAGTGTTTTTATTGGTTTTAATCACCAGGGTTCGCATTTATAAAGATTGCGTATGCACAAAATGAGGCCTTCCCACGCAAAAAATGTGATCTATAAAGGTAGACTTGACGAGAGAATCTTTGACCCAGGCTTTCATTTTGGAGACAGAAAATTTGCGACGCAGATGGTGAGGTGGAAACCTGATTTTAGAAAGCGTTGAGTCATTTGTGCTGCACACCATTTTTGACTTTTGTCCGTACATACATTTTTAATATGGATCCTACACACTGTTTTGTAAATGAGACCCCTGGTTTGTTTGATCTGGAGAGGAGGAGACCTCTGCGGATAGTTTGACTCCAGGTTAAAACCTCCTGGGCAATGAACCAAGGAGATGTTTATGCTGGTCGCAATCTACAATACGCACTGCTGGACAGATGCCATTAAAATCATCTACATCTTACACGCTGGACTTTCAAGCCTTTCTTTCCCTGAACAGGAATTATGTTCCAAACAAGAGTGCAGGCTTCAAAAGTGCATTTTAAAAGAATAGAAAATGGCAGCACCTGATGTGTTACTGATTTGATGGGAAAGTTGATGATATCAGGTCATGCAGAAAACATCATGCCCTTTCAACAAGACCTGTGTCTGTCATTTATCAAGTTCAGAAAAACTCAAAACTTGAAGGGGATGAATCATCATGCATTGACATTTATGCCACAGAACTAAAGTGGGGTCTTTTCTCAGAAATTCAACCCAACAAGGCATTTTGAGTCTCCACTTACTATGTGAAGGATTTGCCAAAGTAGTGTAATAACCTTGTTTCTGTTCACCTCTGGAATAAATTGTCACTGAAAAACTCAAATGAGTTAAAACTATGCTGGAAACGAGCAAAATAATGGCAGCAGATTTCTAACATGTTTAAAATATTTAAATCAACGGCAAGACTAAATAGATTGTGAAGCCAGGGATTTTGCAGTGTAGAGGCAATAACTAAAACTATGCATTGATTTTATATTTGAAAATTACATTTAGTGTCTTTGATTTCACATTCGATAAGTAGCTGACTGTTCCCTTTCAAACAAGCTGAGACGACCAACCGGCAACCACTGATCACTGGCCTGCTGCAGCCAAGTGAAGAATTACAACCACACAGTCCTTCAGCTGTTTGCTCCAATCACCGCCCTCACACACATAAACACACACCAAACTGGGTCCAGAATAAGCAGTTATCAAATGTTTTATTTATTTATTTTTTCACTGTTATAACCAAAATATACCACAGTCTTTTCTTATTACCATAGAGTAATAGAAGTCTTGTATCATCTGCAATGTTTGGACTAACAAGCTCAGCCTTCCTTCTTAGTCAGAAGTGTGGCCAATATGCACAAGCTGTTTGAGCAGGCAGTTTCCCAGTTTTGTATGTAGAAAAAAAGCATTCAGTCCATCTAATTGTCGTGTGTTGCTCTGCAAACAAAGAGCCGCCAGCCTGAGCCACTGAACAAGATTGGAGACGTGGCTGCTGCAGACAGACATGTTCGGAGTCATATTAATCCCTGCAGGATTCAAATGTTCAAGTGTTTTAGTTTTTACTGTCAAATCCTAATAAGTGAGATTGGTGAACTGGACACTAATTGGCCCTTTATTTGATGATAAACGTTCTGTCTCCATCTAATACAGAATTTCCCTGTTATGTCACCATAACATATTCACCAAAAACATAATCCTTCTCTAATGATAACTGCACTATAGTGCACAGATATGATAGAAAGAAAAACATTTTGATTATTAAAAGTATACACACATATGTATGTAAACAGTTCATTTTTGCAGTACCTCATCCAAAAATGTAAAAAAAAATCATATTTTTTGCAAAAGTAAAAATAGTAGAGCATACAATTTGTCTTGCACCATGAAAGCCTCAGTTTTCCCAGACATTTTGTTTCTTAGCCTCACAAGTCAAGGAGTCCTCTCTAGCCTGATTGTAAAGAACCTGTAAATGTCCACAAGGTGGCAAAGCTGGATGCCAGTCTACACTAAAAACTGATTACTGGTTCCTTTAAGCATAGCCTAACTCCATCCATCCATCCATCCATTTTCATCTGCTTTATCCGGAACCGGGTCGCGGGGGGCAGCAGGCGGAGCAAAGCACCCCAGATGTCCCTCCCATCAGCAACACTTTCCAGCTCCTCCTGGGGGACCCCAAGGCGTACCCAGACCAGATGAGATATGTAATCCCTCCAGTGTGTTCTGGGTCTGCCCCAGGACCTCCTACCAGTGGAACGTGCCCGGAACACCTCTAACAGGAAGCGCCCAGGAGGATCCTGATCAGATGCCTGAACCACCTCAACTGACCCCTTTTGATGCAAAGATGCAGCAGCTCTACTCCGAGCTCCCTCTGGATGTCCGAGCTCCTCACCCTTTCTCTACAGCTCTCTCTAAGCTGAGCCCAGCCACCCCACGGAAGATACTCATTCAGCTGCTTATATCCACAATCTCATTCTTTTGATCACTACCCAGAGCTTATGACCATAGGTGAGGGTTGGGACGTAGATGGACCAGCAAATCGAAAGCTTTGCCCTCTGGCTCAGCTCCCTCTTCCGGTGCAGCGCCCGCGTCACTGCAGATGCTGAACCAAACTGCCGATCCATGTCACGCTCCATTCTACCCTCAGTCATGAACAAACCCCTAAGATACTTGAGCTCCCTCACTTGAAGCAGTAACTAAGCAAACTTCCCCCCAAAGTTCAATAAAATTTGTTGATTTGTTTTTGAGATACCCTTCTGCAGCTTGATGGAGGCCCTGTGAAGCATCAGCTGAGTTGTGCAGCTTTTGGTCATTTGATTCGCAATAAATTGATGCCTGTAACAGGTGTGTCATACAGACAGAGGAAGTGGTCGAGGTACAGCAGATGGGATGTGCTGCGGACAGTGGTGCAATCTCGACAAGGTCATCAAGCCACTGCTGGTGTACAGGCTTACAACAAAATGAGTGCAAGTGTTGTGGTGCATGTCATACACCCCTGGTGCGTGTCGCCATAAAAGATGAGTCAGATTCACTTACTAAACTCCAATGAAAAGAAACTCATAAAAAACTATGTGGCAGAGATAGTTGCATAATCGTTAGGCACCCTTCAGAATGAATTGTTTTGCAGTATTAGTGCTGGGTTGTGGAAGAAAGATCAGCTACAGTAATAAAATCAGTTCAGGATATTCAGGCTTTGCTGCAGCAGTCGCAGCTTCAGCAGGAAAACAAGAAGGGAGAGAATCTAATTATGCACATAGAGTGGAAAATGAGCTCAGCAATCAAACAAGGAGGGTGATTATTGAATGAAAATGTTGTTCAGCAATTTCAGCGCCTGGCACACTTTTTAAGATTGAAAACTATGGAACAACATGAATATGTAAAACGTATAGAACCAGTAAAATAATTACATAACAACGCTTGAGTTATTTCATCTCCCCTCTTGGTCCGGTGTAGAAGAGTGCCAACTGCAGTCTGAAAAAGCTGCAGATGAGAAAGAGATTCACGACTGAGAGAACAATGTCAGCCAGAAAAGGAGAGAGATTGACCAGTTTGAGAGATTCTTCCCGACCTGTTGAAAGGAACAGGCCTTAGAGGTAATTTAAAGGCCGTAATTTAAAGCCTCCCGGTAT